GTATATGTAAGTAAATAAGGCACTCTAATGGCATAACTAAATTCAAATACCAAAATATACTTCCAGTCCTTGTCTGTTATCTGCAGGGTATATTGAAATTGTTATTTTTTGGGGGTGGCTAGTCTACTTTGGGTTGCTTCCCTTGTAATTCCACTAACTAATCACTTGACAAAGGAGCACACCTAGACCAAGATCCCTAGAGTGTATGCTCAGGAAATGCATCACAATTATGACGCCCAAAAACATCATCACACACTCTGCGTTCCACGTGTGTTCCAGCCCTCATTCCCAGGCCTCCTCCATCTTGCTGGCTCAACTGGATTGTTTGAGAGAGGGTATGCACAATACGGCGGCTGTGTCAGGACCATCTCACCGAGGTGTTTACCCCTTGACTGATTATGATGTGCCTATTGCTTCTCACATTCTTGTAAGTTGCTTGTATCTGTGTGCAATAAATCTGCTATTTTAAGTCTACTCTTAGAGGTGCCTTCTTCCTTTTTCACTTTTCATGCTACCCTGGAACAAGCTTCTAATCCAGACTAAGGCAGCCACAAGTGAATGGACTTTTCTCCTGCTACATAAAAGACTTTTGTTAGCTGTTATCTTTTTACCAAAGATATGCCTCCCCAGACCATCACTGACCCACCACCAAAACGGTCATGCTGAACGATGTTACAGGCAGCATAACATTCTACATGACTTCTCCAGACCCTTTTCTCATCTGTCACATGTGCTCAGGGAGAACCTACTCTCATCTGTGAAAAGCACAGGGCGCCAGTGGTGGACCTGCCAATTTTGGTATTCAATAACAAATGCCAATTGAGCTCTATGGTGCCAAGCAGTGAGCACAGGGCCCACTAAAGGATGTCAGGACCTCAGGCCACCCTCATGAAGTCTGTTTCTGATTGTTTGGTCAGAGACATTCACACCAGTGGCCTGCTGGAGGTCATTTTGCAGGGCTCTGGCAGTGCTCATCCTGTTCCTCCTGTACAAAGGAGCAGATACCGGTCCTGCTGATGGGGTTTAAGGACCTTCTACCGCCCTGTCCAGCTCTCCTAGAGTTAATGCCTGTCTCCTGGAATCTCATCCATGCTCTTGAGACTGTGCTGGGAGACACAGCAAACCTTCTGGCAATGGCACGTATTGATGTGCCATCCTGGAGGAGTTGGACTGCCTGTGCAACCTCTGTAGGGTCCAGATATCGCCTCATGCTATCAGTAGTGACACTGACCTTAGCAAAATACAAAACTAGTGAAAACCAGTCAGAAAAGATGAGTAGGGAAAAAATGTCTGTGGCCTTCATCTGTAAAACCATTTCTGTTTTGGGATCATCTCATTCTTGCCCATCTAGTGCACCTGTTGTTAATTTCATTAACACCAAAGCAGCTGAAACTTATTAAAACCCCCTCTGCTACTTAACTGACCATATCAATATCCCAGGAGTTTAATTGACCTTATGCTATACTCTGATTAAAGAGTGTCCCTTTAATTTTTTTAAGCAGTGTATATGTAAGTAAATAAGGCACGCTAATGGCATAATTAAAATTCACTCTCTGTGTTTACCAAAATATACTTCCAATCCATGGATTGGAGCCTGGGCAGTGTACACATTGTTATCTGCAGGCTATATTGAAATTGTTATTTTTTGGGGGTGGCTAGTCTACTTCAGGTTGCTTCCCTTGTAATTCCACACCGATGAATCACTTGACAAAGGAGTGCACCAAGACCAAGACCCCTAGAGTGCATACTCAGGAAAAGCGTCATAATTATGATGGCCCATGACATCATCATGCACACGCTGCATTCCACGTGTATTCCAGCCCTCATTCCCAGGCCTCCTCCAGCTTACTGGCTCACCTGGATTGTTTGACAGAGGGTGAGCACAATACAGCGGCTGTGTCAGGACCATCTCACCGAGGCGTTTAACCCCTTGATTATGATGTTTCTATTGCTTCTTACATTCTTGTAAGTTGCTTGTATCTGTGTGCAATAAATCTGCTATTTTAAGTCTACTCTTAGAGGTGCCTTTTCCCCCCCTTTTCTCTTTTCATGCTATCCTGGAACAAGCATCTAATCCAGACTAAGGCAGCCACAAGTGAATGGACTTTTCTTCCGCTACACAAAAGACTTTTATTGTCTGTTATCTTTTTTTCCATTATCATGGAAGCTTCTGGTTTAGGACCTTATATGTTATACCTACAGCTGCAATCTTTTCATGATCTTTTATTTCCCCTTTCCCCCTTTGTGGTTAATTTCTTATTTATGTAAGTCCAGTGCAATATTGTTTTAGACCAGAATTCAGAATGTGCCCTTTTTTGTATTGTTTTCTTGCACCCTCCAGCCTCCAATCTCCAGTGTAATTCAATCCATGTTTATCCACTTGAACCATGCACAATATATCCTCCAAATTTTAGGCAGAAACTGATTAAAACTGATGGTTTTAATTTTAAACTTCACTTATTGATTGCACAATGTTATTATATATATTGTACATGGTACATAGTAACATTGTTTTGTCATTGTATATAATTTCGTAGTATCACATTGCACGGCACTTTATTTAGATTTTAGTTAGGAAATCAGATGCAAAATATACAATATGTCCCCTGAAAATGTGAAGGTGTTCATTGGATTGTGGGCCCCTTTATGCATTTTAGCCAGCAAAAAATCCCACACATATGGTGTCCTTCGTACCATAAAATGAGACAGGCAATCAGAGCATTAAGGTTGATAAATTTCAAAACGATATACCACAGCTTGTAGACTCTATAGCTTTCACACAGGCTAAATAATATACACTGAGTTTAGTTATTTTTACCAAAGAACTTTAGCAGAATATACAGTATTTTAGCTTAAATTTATGAATAAAGATTATTTATTTGCAAACTTTTATAACATAAAATGGAAACATTTTTTTGTTTATGTAGTAAAAGATAAAATAAAAGTGGTGAATAAATACCACCAAAAGAAAACTATCTGTCTGAAAAAAAATGATATAAAATTAATTTGGGTACAGTGTTGCATGGTGGAGTAATTGTTAGTCAAAGTATTACAGTACTGAAAACTGAAAAGTGGCCAAGAAGGGGTTTAACATGTCAGTTTTCAAGTGGTTAAACAAAGCAGAAATGGCAGATGCTCAGATCACTTTATAGCTAGCAAAGGAAAGGGGCACATGTACACTGAACAATATAAAATAAATTTCCAAGCACAAAAAAAGGACGTATAAACTGTTTAACATTTGGGTTTAAGCAGAGGTTTTTGTTGCATTGCTAATATTATTACTGTTATTATTGTTATTGCTATTATTATTGTTGTGTTTCTCCATAATGATCTGTTTCTGTTTGGGTCTTCAGTTTTTGCAATGGCATGTTCATATTTTATGTCACTGTATCTGACCACCTTTTTTGTAGGTCCTTTCAACTTTTCCAAGTATAACTGTCTTTCTAGTTGTTTCTTTTAAAAAAAATATGACAATTTGGCCTTGATTTTTTTAATTTTCTGCTTGTTTGCTTTGATGTCCACAATATTTTTAAGCTAGCCATAAACAGCTCAGTTTTGTCTTGTTCACCTCAGGATGAGTAAAAGAAAATTAATGGGTTCCCCCATCCACACTAAGGCCTCATGCATACAGGATGTTTATTTAACTCTCTTAGAAGCTAGTAGCCTTTTTGCAGGAAAAAATGCTTAAAAGTGTCTAAAGCTTTTAAAAGCTTTTAGGAGCTTTTACAGGCTTCAATCACTAAAACTTGCTGCAAAAATGCACTCTGTGCATGAGGCCTAAATAGTATGGGTAGAGGGCTATCCACTGCCAGCTTTTGTATTGAGCACCCACTGCACCCTATTGAGCATAGCTGCACCCACAGAGGAAGTATAGGAGGAGTAGGGAGGATTCTCACCCTATCCATCGTGACCACACAAACTCCAACCCACTATCCAGTGTGTGGATAATTTAACATTTTACTTTAATTAGTCATTCACATAGTGACATGAGATGTTTTAGCTAATGTAACACATGCTGGAAATTTGCAAAAAAATAGTGTGTACTACGCTCCTGTGATATCTAGTGAGGACCTTGAGAATAAATGCACAAATTCTAGACATTCAAGTATTGTATGTGTCATTATGTAGAGGTCTTTAATGTCAGCAGTTACTCACTGCATATTCAGATTAGACTTTTTGATTGATTTTGCAGATGTATGTCCCTCATTTTTTTCCCTCCCATTTTCAGTTCATACAATGTGCTCCCTATGTAAAAGAACAAAGCTGTAGCATTGTATACATTGTCAATATAGATACATCCTTTATAACTGGCAAAGAATAGAATTTTTAAATGCAGCATTTAGAAACATTCATGATACTTCTTAAATTCCTTGTTATAAATATTAGTATAATGAGTAAAATACACAGACATCAGAGATAAAACGGAGAACATTTTTTTACTTCCTAATTTCTCTACATGCAAACATGTCAAAAGATTGCGCATAAACAGACAAGCATATAAGCAGTGTATAGTACAGTACAGTGCTTAGACATCCTATTACTTAATATCGTAATGTTTTTGTGCATGTTTAAATGCTTTCAGTAAGGGCTCATGTGCACTGCAGCTGATAAACTCACGTTTAACCGCCCCCCAACCGCCATATAGTAATATGACGGACGCAAAGTGGTTCTATCGTTCTGGGAGGATGTCATATGACGTCCTCCCATTCTAACCGCGCATGCGTGGCTCCCGGAGCACTCAGCGCGGCGATCGGTGGTGCGCTGTGTCCCTCGGACACAGCGGATCACCGATCCACAGAAAGAACCGAAGATGTCTGCTCGGTCATGTGATCAGCTGTGTCCAATCACAGCTGATTACATGTAAACAGGGAAATGCTTATCGGCATTTTTCTCCCCAGGAGCTGTCACGCTGAGGAGGAGCGAAGAGCCGGTAATCGGCATTCCTCAGAGGGGACATGTACACAGATCATCAGAGCACTGATGATCAGTGTGCCCTGATGATCTGTGTAGCCCCAGCAGTGCCACCTGTCAGTGTCCATCAGTGCCAGCTCTCGGTGCTCATCCATGCAACCTGCCAGTGCCCATCAATGCCACATCAGTGCCACATTTCAGTGCCCTCAGTGCCACATCAAAGCCACATATCAGTGCCAATCTGAGATGCCTTTCAGTGCCACCCATCAGTGCCAGTCAGTGCCACCTATCAATGCCAGTCAGTGGCACCTATCAGTGCTGCCAATCAGTGCCAGTCAGTGCCGCCTATCAGTGCCAGCCAGTGCCGCCTATCAGTGTGCATCAGTGCTGCCTATCAGTGCCCGTCAGTGCTGCCTATCAGTGCCGCCTAACAGTGCCAGTCAGTGCCACCTAACAGTGCCAGTCAGTGTCGCCTATCAGTGCCAGTCAGTGCCGCCTATCAGTGCCACCTATCAGTGCCATATATGAGTGCTGCCTTTCAGTGCCCATCAGTGATGCCTGACAATGCCCATCAGTGCCACCTATCAGTGCCTCCTCATCAGTGCCCATCAGTGCCACCTATCAGTGTCCATCAGTGCAGCCTATTAGTGCCCATCAGTGCAGCCTCATTAGCGCACATCAGTGAAGGAGAAAAAATCACTCATTTACAAAATTTTATAACAAAAACTAAGAAAAAACATTTTTTTTCAAAATTTTCAGTGGTTTTTGGTTTGTTTAAGAGAAAATAAAAAACCCAGAGGTGATTAAATACCACCAAAATAAAGCTCTATCTGTCACAAAAAAATGATAAAAATTTCATATGGGTACAGTGTTGCATGACCATGCAATTGTCATTCAAAGTGCAACAGCGCTGAAAGCTGGAAATTGGCCTGGGCAGGAAGGAGGTATAAGTGCCCTGTAGGCTAGTGGTTAAGAGCTGTTCAGAATTTTTTTCAGCAGCCCCTGAACTCTCCCTAACGTTTTCCTATGTGTCCATGTACACATCGTCGTTTACAGACAGTTGAGTTTACACTTGTTTTTTTGAACGCAGAAAACTTGCGTTCAGCAGTAGATTTTATCAGCGTTTCAAATGCCAAATGCTTGTAAACACATGTAAATGTGGCTAAACGCTGCTAACATCGTTTATAGGTGTTTGCGTTTGAAATTTTTTTTTAACTCTTCCATTTCCAGATGCTGTCCAGAGCCCTTTTTCATCATTCAAACTGCATGCAAAGCGTTTTCCCGGCACACAAATGGACCTGGTACACCATACTTTGAGGTTTTGCATGAAAGAAAATATGTTAGACACTGCTGCAATAATTTCTGCACAGAAATGAGCTGGAACACATCCAAACACCACAAAAAAAAAGACAGTTAATCTCAACAAATACTGCTCTCTCTGCTTCTACTCTATTTCTCTCAAAATGTCTGAAATAGTTAATTTTTTACTGTTTTTCAGTGCATTCTGGGCATTTTGGAAGGTCTTCTGAGGTTATCTTTTCTAAACACAAATGCTTATAAATGCGCATAAACGCGGCTAAACAGACGTTTTTTAATCTACGTTTTCCAGCAATCAGTTTCTATCGTTCAGAAGTGTCCTGTGTACATGGGGCCTAAAAACGTTACTGGTAAGCCATTGTTGGGTGACACTGTGCATGTTTAAGGATTTCCCCAGTTTTGCAGTTGCAAGAAATGATGGCTTATCAAGAACATTTTGGAAAACAATTCACTATTGTGATTATTTTTGTTCCCAATCTCTGCTGGAATTTTACCACTTCAGTACTAGGCACTTTTTCTCCATTCCTACCCCAGCCAATTTTCAGCTTTCAGCCTGGGTTCACACTGATGCGGTGCGGAATTCGCAGTGGTTTCTGTGCGAATTCTGCATTGCATCACAATCGCACCTTGTTCATGCGAACTGCTGCAGGTGTGTATGTTAACTTAACAACACCCTGAAATCAGTCCGCAAAACGCGGTGCAATGTGCAGAATTGGATCGCATGGGTGTAAATATCCATGCGATCAAGTTCTAGTGAGAACCAAAAAAAGGGTCCTGCACCTTTTTGGTGCAGATGTGGTGCGATTTGAGCCATACATGCGAAATGCTGCACAGCACAAGTGTGAACCCAGGCTCAGTGTTGTCGCACTTTGAATGACAATTGTGCGGTCATGCAACACTGTACCTTTTTTACACAAATAGAGCTTTCTTTTGGTCGTATTTAATCACCATTGAGTTTATTTTTTGCTAAACAAACCCCCCCCCCCAAAACTTTTGAAGAAAAATGCCTTTTTCTTAGTTTCTGTTATAAAATTGTCTTTGGTGAAAATGCCCCAAATGTGTGTATAATATTTTAGCCCGTAGGAATGTTATAGAGTCCGCAAAAAATGGTATATACAGTTGTGCTCAAAAGTTTACATACCCTGGCAGAAATTGTGAAATTTTGGCATTGATATTGAAAATATGACTGATCATGCTGATCACAAAATGCTCTTTTATTGAAGGATGATGATCATATGAAGCCATTTATTATCAAATAGGTGTTTGGCTCCTTTTTAAATCATAATAACAGAAATCACCAAAATGGCCCTGATCAAAAGTTTTACATACCCTGGAATGTTTGGCCTTGGTACAGACACACAAGGTGACACACATGGGCTAGAATGCCAATTAGAGGTTAATGTCCTACATCTGTTGCTTTTTAAATTGCAATTAGTGTCAGTGTATATATAGTCAATGAGTTTGTTAGCGTTTACGTGGAAGCACTGACTAGGCTAGATACTGAGCCATGGGGATCAGAAAAGAACTGTCAACAGTCCTGCGTAACAAGGTAATGGAACTTTATAAAGATGGAAAAGGACATATAAAAATGTCCAAAGCCTTGAATATGCCAATCAGTACTGTTAAATCACTTATTAAGAAGTGGAAAGTTCTGGGATCTCTTGATACCAAGCCAAGTACAGGTAGACCAAGAAAGATTGCAGCTACAACTGCCAGAAGAATTGTTCGCGATACAAAGGGAAACCCACAAGTAACCACAAGCAAAATACAGGCTGCTCTGGAAAATGACAGTGTGGTTTGCAAGTTAATTATCCCCAGAGTTTAGTGAATGAAATGAAGCTCTACCGAATTTCACCATCATCATGTTCAAGCAAAAATACCATTTTTTTTCCTGCATGTAATTGGGTGTTTCTTGCAAAGTGAAAATTACCCCATTCACTAAAGTGTGTCAAAAATTCTCTTGTACAGTACAAATTTCCTTTTAAAGTAAATAATTATTTGTAAAAAGTTAAAAGTAAATTGGCCTCAATTTCTTGCATGTATACAGTCATTAGACTAACTTATTTGTCTATACATGATCATAGAACATGAGGTTGATGCACTGATAGTGGTACTAACAAATAAACTTTTTTGGTTAAAATAAAAAAAGAGGTTATACTTACCTGCTCTGTGCAACTTACCTTACTTCCTCTTCTGGAAGTCCTCTGCTGTTCTCTCCATCCTTCTCTGGGTGCCTCCTTAGCAAGTTGAATGCTAAGGAGGCACCCATGTGTGCATGCTCTTAGGATCGGTACAACCATAAGGTGGCTTAGGCAGCTGCCTTAGGGCACCTGGATGGGGCAGCAGTAAAATCTGAATCCAGTCCTAGTCATTTTCTGGGGTTTTGATTTTTAACATGCTGTAGACATGTGCTATTAACACACTATACTGGCCAAGACTATATACTTCTGTGAAGCCGACTTCTAATAGATCCCAAATGACACATAAAAAAAATTTGACCCCCCCACACACACACATACAAAAAAAACACATGTTTCAGGTCACCTATGTAGGAAAATGGCGATTGCCTTACACATGGTATATGTCACAACGCATGCTGGATTGAGGGCAATCATTTTATCACCAGAACTCCTAAGTACCTCTAAACTCATGATCTGTAGGGACTTTTAAACTGTTGGCTATGAAAAAATATAGGGTACTGAGGTTTTTCACTGTTTCAGGGGCACACAATTTTAAGGTTTAACGTGTTGGGTATCTATTTACTCTGCACAACCTCATCTTTTATATTTTACCAAAAAATTGGGTAATAAATTGCATATGTGCCCAAAAATTAACTTTAGTATATTTTTTTACTGAAAATTTGTGTTTCATAAACTGTTGCACTAATATCGTGTAACATTTAAAAAAAATGGAACTACCAACATTTTATTCTCCTGGCTGCTTTCAGAAAATATATAAGGTTTTAAAAAAGTCTTCAGACCTAAAATGATTTTTAAAACATGTAAACAAAAAATGTAAAAAGTGGCTTTGGGACTCAAGTGGTTAAAATACCTGTCTTCAATTCTGCAACACTGCGCCCAGGGCCGTGGATAAGGGGAGTACCACCAGTCCTTCTGTATGGGGCCCAAGCCAGAAGAGGGGCTCAGGTAGCTGGATAATTCAGATGTGAACAGTGAGGATGATTGGCATAGCAGGGGGGCAATTACTAGAACCAATCCCCTGTATGTCTCTGCAGCAGCTAAAAAACTGTCTTCTTCTCCTCTCCCTCTTGCTGGCTTTCAGCTGCTGCAAAGAGAGCCATACAGGGGATTGGTTACAGCAATATCCCCACCACACCCATCACCCCCTTGCACCATCCGTTTCTCCTTGCTGCCCAGGCCCCCTTGTGTGCCCCCACAGTGCTGCTGGCTTCCCTCCTCTCCTTTGTAACGGCACACAAAAGGATCCTTCTGGATGGAGAGTGAGGGAAGGGTCCAGTAAATTTGTCACATTTACCAGCCCCTTACTTTCCTAAATGAACACAGCAGGGGCGGACCAACCATTTGGAAACTCGGGCACTGCCTGAGGGCCCGGGGTTAGTAGGGGGCCGCATGAGATGCCCCTGGTACCTTTTTCATAGGATTTTTTGAGTTTGGGCAAGGACACAGGGGTCCCATGATCCCCTATTGCCCGGGGGCCCCATGAGTTGTCAGTCCACCCCTGGAACACAGTGAGTGATCAGTACCAATCACTCACTGTGTTCATTCATAACTAAAGCTTAGTCAACCCTTTTTTGTTTGTTTTTTTGGGGAGGGGGGCCCTGTTAGGTTGGCTGTATGGGGCCCCCGTTGTTTCTAATAGCAGCCCTGACTGTGCACTCTCTCCTACTGGGAGCAGCGGGGAAGTTTTAGTTTGTCTTACCTGCAAGCTGCCTAAAGCGGAGGGGCTTACCCTCAAGGGGGGGGGGGCTCTTATTACACATTGCTGTTGTGGAGGAGAGGATGGTAGTTGGAGGACAGTGGGGGTGCTGCAAAATGCACCTTCACATGAGTAGACAAAAATTCTTGCACCAGCCCTGTGTGCTCCTGAGCCAGGCTGTGTGCATCCACAGACACAGAGAACTCCAGTAAGCCATGCCCT